CTCCGGCGGTCCCCCGACGTGGAGGCCACCACTTCATTGGTTGTCGCACAATCGATTGTCGTTCCATTCTCTCCTCTTAACTTCTTTCTGTTAGCTCTTTTGTGCGGTGTGCCATCCACCCCATCCTTGGTTAACACTTCATCTGCACCTTCAAACTGCTCAACAATTTCAGCGGTAACACCTACAGGAACAATCTCAGTGCTACTCCCACTCACCGAGTCAGCAGCTATTCTCTTTCCAAGGGTGTTCAGATCATCCTTTTTCCCCTTTTCACCATCAGCTGGGTCAGTGGCAACCACAGTTAGTTCCACTACCATAGGATTGGCTGCGTTATGTCGCCAGCTCATAACCAAGTGTTGGCGGTCAGCTATATCATCAGTCCTTTTATCCTCATCAGGGTTATATATTTCATTGTTCCTCCAGAGCTCCCTCTGCACTCCAGTCCTACCTGCACCACGCCCTCCAAAAATATCACGCTGGTCAGCAGACTTTGAGGCATCGCCTCGGCCATAACCTCGGCCAGCTCCGCGGCCAGTACCACGTCCACCCCCACCACGACCTCTTGTTGGTGCTAGAACGAAGGGGCCCCACTCCATATCCTCCTCCTTGTGCTCACCAGTGCCACATTCCTCATGCCAGTGGCCCAAAAGACCACACATATAACAAAACACAGGAAGTTTTTCAAATTTAACCTGGTACCATTCAGTTTCCCCAGCATTTGTGAAACTAACAAACCTTGTCAGCTTTTTATTGACATCTAACTTTACTCTCACTCTTATGAACTCCCCCACGAAGCCATTGGGCAGAATTATCTGGAGCTCCAACACTTCGCCAATGTGTGCTGCCATATTCTTCACAAACTGCTCCCTTTTCAAAACCATGTCAGGAAGCCTGTAGATTTGGCACCATGTCTCAATTTTATTGAGCTTTACTGTCTCCGGATTCTTGAAGCCATCATACTCATCAATTATGAGCGCCATGCCTTTGAAATCCCACGGACCTTGATGCATAGCTTTGTTCCAATCACCCAAACAATTGAATTGTACAGAGAATAAATTTGGATTAATCCTACGCCAGATCACTTCCCTTGCCGGATTCCATGTCGCCCTCATGTCGGCTATCAAGGCCCCTTGCCCGAAGGACTTCTCCGTCAGAACCCTAGCCAGGGCCATCCACTTTGGCCTCTCCTCCGGGTCATTAGCTTCCTCCTCCCATACAAGATTGTCCAGTTCGTCTTCTTGAAGGTGTAATCTCTCCAGGAGGACGCTAGGGTCTTCCGCCCTCTTTGCACGTGAGGCGCTCGTCTCCGCTGGTGTCGCCATCAACTCTCACAAGCACCTTCAGAACCCTGGGGGCGAACTACGTCTATCGGGAGCACCAGGACAAGGCGTCGCTGGCGATCCAGATTCGGGACCAACCGGCGTCGCTCAAAACGGTTGGGATAGGCAAAACTCACGGCGGTGGGGCGCCGGAGGACAAGAGAACTCTAGGACAAAACCCTAGGGGAATGTCTGCTGGCCAATACGTTCCGTCTCACATGCTTCCCAAGGTGCACACACGAGAGGGCAGATTCAATTGTTCCTCCTCAGCTAGACTCAAAACTGCTTTGAGCTTCATGCAGACCATGAATTCAATGTAGCCTAGACTAGACCGAATTTGCATCCATAGGATTTGTATATGGCTGCATGTGACCTAATAAACACGTGTGCATCCGAGATGCTCTAACATTGTGTTGCACACCCCTGCCTGCGCCCTAAGGGCATCTCCGCGGACCGTCAAATAAAAATCGTCCGGTTTGCGTAAAAAAATTATCTCGTTTGTTCAAACACTATTTAAAATGTGTCCAAAATCGATAGGGTTAGATGACCGGCCCCAGTGTCGTGTCTGTGAACGGATTGGTTCATGGGATACCGTATTACCGTTGGAGATGGACCTAACCTTGCTGTCGATTTTGATCTGCATGCTCATAACGGGGAAACTCTGACTTCTGACTTCCTTAATCGCGGGGTCCAGGCGTCGTTCCTGCTAAATAATGGAGTCCACTCACTCTAGGATAACGAAGGCCACTGTACATAGCCGTCGATGTAACAGGAGCCCGGTACAACCTGCACCTGCACGCTTCATCTCGCTGTCATGTTACGCAGATTTACCTACAAGTAGTATTATAATCTATCATGTTCACAGGTATGGCGAATGGCGGCACACTGACAAACGATCATCCGTGACGCAGCCAACACTGACTTGTTGATCTGGTCCCGTTTTTATATCTTCATTGCCCGCCATATTTAGCCCTCCGACGTTCAGGAAACGGAGACAGATCCAAGTTCAGACGCGAGAATCCGCAAATCTGTGAACTCCACGGAAAGGATCAACAGCGAGCATCTAGCAGCTGGGAAATCCTGCCCTGCGTTGCCAAAGCTTGATTTCCTGAGACGGGGGCCACGGCCGGCGGCAAGATGCACGTCGTGATGCTGCCATGGCTGGCCTTCGGCCACGTGCTCCCGTTCACGGAGTTCGCCAAGCGCGTGGCCCGGCAGGGTCACCGGGTCACCTTCCTCTCTACGCCGAGGAACACCCGCCGGCTCATCGACATCCCGCCGGGCCTCGCCGACCTCATCCGCGTCGTGGACGTCCAGCTGCCGCGGGTCGAGCACCTGCCGGAGCACGCCGAGGCGACCATCGACCTCCCCTCCGACGACCTCCGCCCGTACATGCGCCGCGCCTACGACGCCGCCTTCGAGCGCGTGCTCTCGCGGCTGCTCCAGGCGGAGGAGAAGGCGGGATCGAGACCGGACTGGGTCCTCGTCGACTACGCGTCGTACTGGGCGCCGGCGGCCGCGGCGAGGCATGGCGTGCCGTGCGCGTTCCTCAGCCTGTTCGGCGCCGCGGCGCTCAGCTTCTTCGGGAGCCCTGAGACGCTCCTCGGCCTCGGGAGGCACGCCAAGACGGAGCCGGCGCACTTGACGGCCGTCCCCGAGTACGTCCCGTTCCCGACCACCGTCGCCTACCGCAGCTACGAGGCGCGCGAGCTGTTCGAACCGGGCATGGTCCCGGACGACTCCGGCGTGTCGGAGGGCTACCGGTTCGCCAAGACCATCCAAGGGTGCCGGCTCGTGGGCATCAGGAGCAGCACGGAGTTTGAGCCTGAGTGGCTGCAGCTGCTCGGCGAGCTCTACGAGAAGCCGGTGATCCCGGTCGGCCTGTTCCCTCCGGCGCCGCAGCAAGACGTGGCCGGCCACGAGGCGACGGTGCGCTGGCTGGATGGACAGGCGCCAAACTCCGTCGTGTACGCGGCCTTCGGCAGCGAGGTGAAGCTGACGTGCACGCAACTGCAACGCGTCGCTCTCGGCCTGGAGGCGTCCGGGCTGCCGTTCATCTGGGCGTTCCGCGCGCCGACCGATTCCACCTCCGGCAGCCTGCCCGAGGGCTTCGAGGAGCGAGTGGCCGGTCGGGGAGTCGTGTGCCGAGGCTGGGTGCCGCAGGTGAGGTTCCTGGCCCATGCATCAGTCGGGCGGTTCCTGACGCACGCCGGCTGGAACTCGATCGCCGAGGGCCTGGCGCAGGGCGTGAGGCTGGTGCTGCTGCCGCTGGTGTTCGAGCAGGGCCTCAACGCCAGGAACCTGGTGGACAAGAAGATCGGCGTGGAGGTGGCGCGGGACGAGCATGACGGGTCGTTCGCGGCCGACGACATCGCGGCGGCTCTGAGGATGGTCATGGTGGAAGACGAAGGCGAGGGGTTCCGGGCCAAGGTGGAGGAGGTGGCCAAAGTGTTTGGGGACGACGAGGTGAATGATCAGTGTGTGAGAGAGTTTCTCTTGCACCTGTCGGAGCACAGCAAAAAGAACCAAGGATAGGACTGAAACTTTCCGATATCATCAACTATCTTTCAGTGAGGTGAAGTATGCTACATGTGATTTCTGGAAGCGATCGCCATTACAAATTTACAACCCCATAAACCGTGCTACTCCTTTGACAGGAAATTTCAACAAGGGGGTGTGTAGTGTGTACAACCAAGAGGTCAAAATTAGCGGCACATAACCGGTCCCTTCCAGCCAAAATTGTCTCTCACACTGCACCAAAGTCCACCAGATCATCGCCACTCGCCGTCACCGGTGGCTGAGTTCACCAAATATGTTGAAAACATCGTAAGGGCGAGGATAAAATTTACCTTTCACCATGGAAGCCCCAGCAGAGTCCTTGTTCTGTGCACGAACAAGTCCCGGGATATCCACATCGCAGGAAGGTGCCCTAGAACCGTCGCGAAGGATAATTGTGCCACGGCATCCTTCTTCCCAAGTGACAATCGGCATTGTTGTCGAATGTTTATATTTCAATAGCTTGCTGTCTTTAGCCCCGTGCATGAGAGCATGTCCAACAGACGCGCGGTAGCGCGGCACCTAAAAAAGTTTTGCAACGATGAAATAGTGTTTTTGTACGCGGGGGGTTTATCAGACGCATAAAAACACGGCGCCCAACCTGGCGACCTCACATGCAGCAGTCCGCGCGCACAAGCCGGCGCCTCAAATTTGCAGCCTCGCAACCCGCGTGCGCTAAATTTACAGCTTCGTTTTTGTGCGTGCTCTATTTTACAGCTTCTGCTGAAGCATTGTTTTTGGTCGCGGGCGTGTTATAAATGCATCTTTTCCGGCGCACGGCTTATATAGCGCCTCTGTTGGAGATGCTCTCAAAAGCTTTATGTTTTTGGAGACTATCATTGCATGCCTCTGCACGAAATATCCTTGCTCCAGCTCCTGCGACATTCCTTTACAGGTCAGAAATTTCTAAAACCACATGTGCAGTAATATATATTACACCCTGTTGATGGTAGACTTGGGAGACGCAACACACATTAGCAACAAAAACGCTTTCTCTTTCGAACTAAGTTAGTTCGAAAAAGAGAACTTCATTGCCCTAGTAGCAAGAGAATGGACGAAGCCTGTTAGTGGGCGATCTAGTATAGAATGTTGGCAAAACAAGATTAGACATCTAAGACAATTTTTAATGGGTTGGGCCAGAAACGAAAGTGGGATTTACAAACAAGAAAAAGAAAAACTCATCCAACTAATCGATAGTTTGGACCTGAAAGCATAATCGAATCTGCTAGATGTGTCGGAACAGGTCGCCAAGTCGGACGCCAAACAAAGCTTGCGAGCTCTTCTTAGAGAAGAAGAATTGAAATGGGCCTTGTGTGCTAAGATTCTTAAGGTAGTCCAAGGGGACGATAATACGCAATTTTTCCACATGATTGCAAATGGTAAACATAGAAAAAAGAAAATCATCCAGCTGGAACAGGATGAAGGAACCGTTGTGGGGCATGAGAACCTCAAGTCATATATTTCGAATTATTATAAACAACTATTCGGGCCGCCAGTGGATAATGCGGTGTCCCTGGGTGAGTTTGTTGTTGGGGATATTCCTCAGCTCCGGTCAGATGAAAACGAGATTTTGTTTGCATCGTTTACTGAGAAAAAGGTTTTCGATGCAATATCACAAATGAAGCAGAATAAAGCACCGGGTCCAGATGGGGTCCCTGCGGAATTCTATAAGAAATGTTGGCATATTATAAAAAGATGATCTTATGCCAATGTTCAGGATTTCTTCAATGGTCACTTGGAACTCTTTCATCTTAACTTTGGTATAATAATATTGTTGCCAAAGAAAGAAGAAGCAGTTCGCATTGAGCAGTTCAGGCCAATATGTCTTTTAAATGTGAGTTTTAAAATATTCACGAAAGTGGGTACTAATAGACTAACACGGATCGCACACTCCATGGTGCAACCGAGCCAGACGGCTTTCATGCCAGGAAGACATATCCTAGAAGGGTTGTTGTCTTACATGAAACTCTCCATGAAATTCATTCGAAGAAGATAGATGGGGTGATCTTCAAAGTGGATTTCGAATAGGCATATGATAAAGTCAAATGGCCTTTCCTTTAGCAGGCAATGCGCATCAAGAGTTTGAATGAGACATGGAGGAATCAGGTGGATTCCCTAGTCCAAAAAAGGGAGTGTCAGAGTGAAGATTAACGATGATATCGGTCACTATTTTTAGACGCATAAGGGATTGAGACAAGGTGATTCGATATCTCCTCTCTTATTCAATATAGTGGCGGATATGTTGACCGTTCTTATAGGCCGGGCCAAAGAGAATGGCCAAGTTGGTGGACTCGTTGCACATCTGGTGGATGGTGGAGTATCCATCTTACAATATGCCGATGACACTATTCTTTACATGGAGCATGACTTCGCTAAGGCTCGGAATATGAAACTAGTGTTGTGTCTTTTTGAATAGTTATCCAGACTAAAAATAAATTTTCACAGGAGCGAATTGTTCTGCTTTGGAAGGGCCAAAGAGGAACAAGACGCATATAGACAACTGTTCATAAGTGAATTGCGGTCTCTGCCCTTTAGTTATCTGGGTATCTCGATTCATCTTCACAAACTTAGTAACAAAGAGTGGAAGTGTATCGAGGATCGATTTGAAAAGAAACTAAGCTACTGGAAGGGCAAGCTAATGTCTTATGGAGGTCGGTTGGTACTCATTAATTCTTTATTAAAAAGTATGCCGATGTTCCTATTATCTTTCTTCGAAGTACCTAAAGGGGTACGAAAGATACTTGATTTTTATCGATCTTGATCTTTTTGGCAGTCGGATGACATTAAGACAAAAAATTGTCTCGCAAGATGGGATATCATTTGTCGACCTAAAGACCAAGGAGGTCTCGGTATTGAAAACCTAAAGATTAAAAATAAATGTCTAATGAGTAAATGGCTATTTAGGTTATCAGCAGAGACTGATGGTATATGGGCACAAATATTATGAAATAAATATTTACAATCAAAAACTCTGGCCCAAGTTACCGCAAGACCTGACGATTCGTCGTCATGGAAGGGACTTATGAGAACGAAAGATATATTCTTTTGTAGGGCCAAATTCTTGATTGGCAATGGGATGACAACAAGATTTTGAGAGGATACGTGGTTAGGGGAGACACATCTAGCCATACAGTACCCACCTTATATAATATTGTACAACATAAGGAAGATTACGTAGCTACTATATTACATGAGGTTCCCTTAAATATACAGTTTAGGAGATCCTTAGTTGAGGAACGCTGGAACTCCTCGCGGAGATTGATGGAGATTCAACTATCCGACCAAGCTGACTCCTTCCACTAGAAATTAGCCAGAAACGGTGTCTTTATGGTCAAATCTATATATATGGATCAAATTAATACTCGCTCAATCCCAAGATCGTTACATATCTGGAAAATTAAGGTTTCCTTGCGTATCAAGACTTTCATGTGGTTTGTCCACAAGCAAGTGATCCTCACCAAAGAAAAATTAATAAAACGGCGTTGGGTAGGAAGTGCACGTTGTTGTTTTTGTGATCGTGATGAAACAATACAACACCTATTCATAGATTGCCCTCTTGCGAAATTACTTTGGGGAATGGTTCATATAGCCTTTAACATTATTCCTCCGGTTAGCATTGAAGCGTTACTTGGGACATGGCTAGCTGGAGTAGATCTTATTACGGCGTCCCGTATTCGGATTGGAATATGTGCGCTTATTTGGGCTATATGGAATTGCAGGAATGATAATTTTTTAACAGACAACATACTTTAACTTTCTTGCAGATCATTTTCAGAGCTACGGCATGGATCCGTACGTGGTCCTTACTCACTCCTACGGACTCCAGGGAGCCTCTGGTTACTGGGTGCAACCAGTGGGAGATGATAGCACATGCTATATTTAACCGGTTTGGATGGCGGTCTCATAATAGGATAGGCGTCTAGTGTTCTAGTCCTATTTATCCTGCCGGTTGTGGCAATGTGTTTCCCTTTTTACTTTAGTTTTTTGCTCTGTTTGCGAGCTGTAATGGATCTAAGACTTTGTTTCCTTCGCACTTTTTAATAATATGGCCGCATGCATCGTCCAAATGCAGAGGCCGTGGTGAGCCTCCTTTTCCAAAAAAAATGTGCAGTAATATATCGGCCAAAAAGTACTATACTAACCAACCTTTTGTTGCATAACGGAAATCAGTAAATGCTATGACCGCATCAAGTGGAACTTCAATAGCAGAAATGGAAGGACAGTATGAACTTACCGGAATGTCAATGATATCACCAGCAGCAAAATTATTATATTGGCCTTTCACTCTTAGATTTGCATCAATCATCAATCTTCCATCATTGTCCAAGCAATCTTTCAGCTCAGAATCTCTAATCCATGCTGAACTTGGTGGTCTGTCGAGGCACGAGAAGTGGCAATCAGCTATTATCTCTATCCCCGACAAAGTCCTATAGAGCTTGTCTCCCTCCGACATGGACTCTAGATCGATTAACTACTCCAAATAAAGTTCAACATTCTATGATCTTAGCCAACACAGTGTTTTGCCACCAGCTTTTTAACCAACAGATTCCAACAATCTTGGTTTGTCATGAACCAGTGTCACCTTCTTGTCTGGATAATTCACAACTATTTTAGCAGCAAGCTCAACGCTTGATGGCTCACCCCCAATAATAAGAATCAAATCGGAATATTTTATCTTCACATCATCTGGAAATGTAGATTGATAGGCTCTCTTATATCAACTAGGCTAGATTAGATCGGTAGCAATCTCTATTCCTTGATCTGTCTATACATCCGAGAGAGGGAAACAAAGAGAGATGGGGAAGAAGGGGAGTACCTTCTCCTTGGCTTGATGGACCTGTGGTGCCGGACATGGTGGAGGGCGAGGGTGATGACAGGGTATGGTCGAGATGGCGGCGGTGGTGCTTCCCAGCACTACTGCGCTGACTTAGATCGGTAGGTGTGTCGGTGGGGTGTACGGCTCGTGATGAACCTTGAGT